CAAACCAAGCTGCTTACCTATTGCAGATTCAGTCTTCCCAGCCTGGTGCAGGTCTACAATTTTATTTCTGGTGTCCTTTGACAGCTCTTTGGTCTTGGCCATAGTGGAGTTTGGAGTGTGACTGTTTGAGGTTGTGGACAGGTGTCTTTTATACTGATAACAAGTTCAAACAGGTGCCATTAATACAGGTAACGAGTGGAGGACAGAGGAGCCTCTTAAAGAAGAAGTTACAGGTCTGTGAGAGCCATAAATCTTGCTTGTTTGTAGGTGACCAAATACTTATTTTCCACCATAATTTGCAAATAAATTCATAAAAAATCCTACAATGTGATTTTCTGGATTTTCTTTTCTCAATTTGTCTGTCATAGTTGACGTGTACCTATGATGAAAATTACAGGCCTCTCTCATCTTTTTAAGTGGGAGAACTTGCACAATTGGTGGCTGACTAAATACTTATTTTCCCCACTGTATGTGTGTAATATTTAGTCAAAGGGTGGATTGATAGAATAATTTGGTAATGACTAATTATTACACTCCACTTTATGAAATGTGTTAGAATCCTGAGACTATAATCGAATAATGTGTGTAGGACCAGTAAAGATTATGACATTGTGTTACTATTTAGCAATTTGAATAGGAGTTAGACCAGACAACAAAGGAGAAGGAGAACTGTCTACAGACAACTGAGAAACCAAGATAAAGAGGCCTCCCAATTTAGGGAGGAGAGAAACCGTTAGGATTGGAAGAGTGGTGCATGTGTGTGTGTGTGTGTGAGTGTGTGTGTGTGTGTGTGTATGTGTGTGTGTGTGTGTGTGTGTGACCTGATGGTCAGGAGAGCAGTTTTCCAGTGGAAAACTACAGCCCGCCTAAAGAGGGGTGGGATTTTTACGTATAAAAATATTGTATGACCATTTGGTTTCAGAGCGCTCTCATTAATAAATATGCTGACCATTGCAGGATTGAGTCTTTGTTTAATTTATTTAAACTAAGAGATTTACAACCTTTTGGGAATTATTCTGAGATTTAAGAAGTAGTTGACTTCAACCATTGAGATAACAAAATTCCCGTGACACTTTGTCAGTAGGCAAACGTACAATATAAACTTTGTTAAACATTTGAGTGAATGAATGAAACGTTAGCGCATACCCCATGATCCGAAGAAATAAGGGACAAAAATATTGAAGGAAAAGTCCCTCTCTTCTTCTTCTTCGTCTTCTTCTGTGGCTTTTATATGGCGGTTGGCAACCAACTTTAATGGAGCCTTACCGCCACCAATTGGACTGGAGTGTGGATCAGGGACAGGAAAGGTCTAAATCCTACCCATTAGTCTTGTCTTCCTAAGGAAACAAAATACGCAATGAAATATCACATCACGTGAAGGTTGCCATAACAGTACAATTAAACTTGTCTCTTCAACACCATTACTCCTTCAATCTAATAATAATATATCCCTTTCCCTCTCCTTGTGCTGGCACTGAAAAAGAACGTGTTCCACTGTCTCCATACCCTCGTGAAAGTGATCACACTTCCCAGTTGGATGTTTTCCTACCAATTTCAATGTGTGTTTCAGACTTGTTTGTCCCAATCACAACCTTGTTATTACACTTTCCTCCCTTCTCTCTTGACCTGAGGACCTCCCTGCCCCCACCTTTTCCTGGATCTTATACAGGTGTCTTCCCTTTCCCTCCCTGTTCCACATTTGTTGCCATTTGTTTTTAACCACTGTTCTTATTAACCCGTTGGCTTCTGCTTTTCTTATTGGCATTTCCATGTCAACATAAGGATGTTTGAGAGCCTGCTTGGCAAGAACATCCACCTCCTCATTCCCCTCTACTCCCATATGAGCTGGCACCCAGAGAAACCTCACAAATACCCCCATGTGTCTCAATCTAAACAGGCACTGCAAAATTTCATACAAGACATTACCCCCAATAACCTAAACACTCCCACCCTCTCTAGAATCCGCCCATACAGCTTCAGGCATATTTCCTCCCCAACCTTCCTTCTAGTAAAAAAAAGTCTGTGTTTTCTCAATGGAGAACTTGAAGACCCACCTGAGGGACCACTGATCAACTTGTCTTATCGCTTCTTGAACTCTCCCGGCTGTATCAGGAATATTTCTCCCTCTCTTCCACAGTGCCCCGTCATCGGCAAACAATGACCTCCCAATATCTGGTCTCACCTTGGAGAATACACCATCTATCAAAATGCAGAACAACAAAGGACTAATGACACTTCCCTGGGGGATACCATTATCCACTTCATACCTTTCTGACATAGAGCTCCATACCTTCACTTGTATTGATTGTCCAAAAAGAAAGTCCTTCATCGCCCATGATGTCCAGTTTGATAAGCAGACCTTCCTTCCACATCATATCATAGTCCTTCCGTATGTCCGACTCTAGGCACAGTACAGGATCCATCATTCCCCTGTCTTTTCTAAACCCACTTTGGTCTGATGACAATAGGCCTCTGCTCTCCAGGAAGTAAGTGAGCCTTTCCGTTATCATCCTTTCCATACGTTTACAGACATGAGAAGTCAACACTATTGGCCTATAGCTTGATGGATTAGTAGGGTCTTTCCCTGTTGTCCATATCGGCACCACCACAGCCTGGTCCCTTCCTGACACACCTTATTGTAAGGGCCTCAATACGTTTCCCATTGCAGTGTCACTGAGGTGAGCCATCATGATGTAACACATCTCATCCTTCCCAGGAGATGCTCTCTTCATCTCAGCCAATGTAAAAGGGGAATTCAATGCCTCCTCCACCACCTCTCTGATCCAGGACCCCCAGATGTTCTCTTCTGACCCTCTCTCTCCCACGCTGTCCCTTCTCTGCCAAATTATTTGAGCTTTGCACCTTCACAAATGCCTGGGCTAAAATCTCTGCCTTCATCGTGTTTCTCAATGCAACAGTTTTCCCCACTTTTCAGCACAGGGAGATCCCAATCTTGTCTGTCCCCACTCCCCACTCTTAATCATCCCCCATACCTCTCCCACAGGGGTAGTCCTGCCTATGTTTCCTCAGAACCGGTGCCAATACTCTGTCTTTGCTGTCCTAATGGTCCTCCTTACTACTGCTTGTGCTCACTGCACAACCCCCATAGTAACAGCACTTTAACTAGACCTCGTCTCCACATTCCCCATATGCATGTTCTCCAAGGTGGTGAAGGGCTTTGTAGGTCAGGAGGATCTTGTAACACTTATGGGAGATTCTAAAGCAGCGCCTGAGACAGCGTTTTCCACCACCATCAACAAAAAAAGAAATTATAAATCCCTCCAATAGTTCTAGACACTTCTAGAATCTGTGCCAAAGTGCATTGAAGCTCTTCTCGCTCATGGTGGCCCAACGCCCTATTAAGACACATTTTTACATTTACATTTAAGTCATTTAGCAGACGCTCTTATCCAGAGCGACTTACAGTTAGTGAGTGCATACATTATTTTTTATACTGGCCCCCCGTGGGAATCAAACCCACAACCCTGGCGTTGCAAACGCCATGCTCTACCAACTGAGCTACATCCCTGCCGGCCATTCCCTCCCCTACCCTGGACGACGCTAGGCCAATTGTGCGCCGCCCCATGGGTCTCCCGGTCGCGGCCGGCTACGACAGAGCCTGGACACCTTATGTTTGTGTTTCCTTTATTTTGGCAGTTACCTGTTAGTGGGCAGGGTTATACAGGCTGACATGTATCAATTTACCAAAATGGATGGAAACACTTTAACCACTTCATATTTATTCGACATTTTAGGTTTTGAGAAAAATGTTGTTGTTTTTTAGGTATGATGTAATTACGTCCAACTGTTTGTATAGACACAAGACAGTTCAATGGAAACATACTGTGAACAGGCAATTGTTGCATCTACTAGCCATGCAAACTTTCTAAATGTCGACAAAAATGACCGGACAAGTTCATGGAAACCTAGCTTATGACATTTCATATTTAGATATCATTTTTCACTAAGTAGTTTTGATGTAGTGAACTACTTTTTCAGATAATCTAGTTAAGTAAACTATATTTTACTTAAAGACTTGCTCTGGTATTTTTGCGACAAATAAAGTATTTTTCAACCTGCCTCTTTGGGCTGGATGTGTCAATCTGTAGTTCATACATGCATAATCTATGAGCAGATGTACTGTCTAACTTCAATTAGCCATGAAATCCCTAGTTTGAAAGCGACTGTTTTCTTGAAGCTGTGCTGCGCCATTTTCCCTACATATCCTCCCATGTGGGCCAGCACCTTAGCAATTCGAGTTCTAGCCCTTCACATTTGAGTGACAGCTAGCAAGAGGGCTGCCTAGCGTTATCCAATGAGGTTGCAGGGCAGGCCCAATGGCTCAGTAGACACAGCAGAGAGAGCAATGATGTGGTGCACATATCTGCACATTTGTGACGTAGTACGCAATGTTCGGAAGATACTTTTGACTTGTGAGTGCTACATTCAGAACTACTTGTTAAAAAGTATATAAAAGTACAAGAGAATCTCTTGAAGGGTAGCTCAGGGTATCCCAAACTTGGTCCTGGGGATAATAATCAACTATTCGAACCAGCTCTGTAGTGCTAGGGCAAAAACCAGAAGATGGGAAATGCTAGTGTAGCTTAACTTCTTCCAGTGAGAAGTTATTGGTAGCTCGGTAAACTATAGAGTAGCTGTTGGAGGCTATGTTGGACTATCTTTCTGCTTTTTAGATGAAGGGTACTGTACATCATGCTGCCACAGTGGAAAACAAATCCAGGATACTCACAGTGCATCCACATGAATTGGGAATCTCCCCTGTGCAGTCTAAGCAGATGAGAATGGGAAATCACCTGGCTTTGATCAATGTCGCCCTCTGCATCCCACTGGAACACCAAAACACTACTATTTGCTCTGGGGGTAATGAAATAAAATTATGTCAGTTTCATGTCAGTATTTGACCAAGAGGATTCTACTAAAATAAGAAAATGTTACAGGAGAAAATGACACTCCCTGTACTGCTGGAATACTGTCAACATGCCAGTTCCCTCCTGTAAAAGAGATTTAGCAAAAATACATCACAATTGGGGGTTCATCTCCTTTTATTACAATACAACAAATTCTGGAATGTATGATACATTGACTGGAACACACATGTAACAATTTTCATTAGACGTTATAGCTGCCATCATTTCAATAAATAAATACATTTTAATTATAAAGCCCGGTAAAACAACTGCAGATGTCAAAGGTGATTTACACAGTAACCTGGGCTAAACCCCTGAGCAAGTAGCAGCAAGCAAAAACTCCCTACAAGAAGAAATCTTAAGAGGAACCAGATTTGGAGTAGAAGTACATATGACCATCTAGTGGTGTGGTGTGAAACTCTCACTGTCTGAGTACTATAGTGAGTGTGGCAACTGTATTGTGACACTACAGTGTCAACTGTAGGGGGTCAACTGTATTTCGTTGAACTTTGTGTATAATGTATTGTAATGTAGTTCTGATCTTACAAAATTACATTCCATGAAAATGTACTTTAGTGTAAAAGGCTGTCATCCCTTTATATTTTATCTCTGTAAGCAAATTGCTCTGGCATAAAGCCTGTTGAGTGACCATGGACTGAAGGTCATATTATTCTTCGGTTTTCTTATCCTTTTTGGTCTCCTGGTCAGACCACTTCCTGGATAACAGGAGCACCAATCCCAGCAGCATTAGTAGCAGGGGATACATCAACAATCTGCTCCTCTGCTCAGCAGGCATCACACAGCACACTGTGGAAGGGAGGAGAAGAAAGGAGCACTCAACCTCAGTCACTGAAATAAGCAACATTTCCCTCTATATCTGACTAGTACTTTATCATGAACTGTAGTAGAGTATTGTGAACAACACTCACAGCTTGCTCCAGGAAGTCCATGGTGAAAGGCCATTGTGCAAGTGTGGTATCATCATTCATCACATCCCAATGGACTAGGTACAAACTACACCAGAAGAATGAGAATAAGAACACATGTATGATCAATAATCCAAAATACCCAATAAAAAAACTCAACCTGATAAAAAAAAAGTATCTGAAAATAACATTGAGTCAACGAACAAACACTGGAACCCTGATCTTTTACCTGGTGGTGGGTGGAGTGTGAGAGACTTGGTGAAACTCTGGTCCAGAACCCTCAGTCTCAGCTCTGCTGTAACAGTCAGAGTGCTGTTCAGCCTCAGGGTCACCTCACTCTTGACATCATACCGCCCTCTGCTGTCCAACTCCATAGTGGTGTTACTGCCCATCACACCTCCCCACAGTACCTCTGGCTGGGGAAACCCATGAGAGGCATGGAGGGTGACAATGAAGCCATCACAAGTGGCTTGCACAGATATCATTGGCTCATCATAAGGGCCTGGTTTGAAAAATAATAAATACTTTTGTAGGGGCAGTTAACATCATTTAAACTATACAATGCAGCAACAATGGAACTTACCTGCCACTAGAAGTTGTATATTTTCCTGGGTGCTTCCCAATTCATCTGTCACATGACAGGTGTATTGGCCCTGGTCACTCAGCTGCACACCACTCAGTCTAAGTGAGGCATTTCCCACAGTGAGCTGGTCTTCAAACAGATGAGTGCGTCCCTTGTAAACAACACTCTGTTTTTCCAGCTGATCTCTCCCATAGTAATAGCTGTGGACCACCTCTGACTCTCCACGCTGCCAGTTGACGATCAAGTTGATGAGGTTCAGGTTTTTAGACAGAGGGAAAGAGCAGCTAAGGGTGATGTCACTGCCCGGAGCTGCCACTTCTCGGGTTTGTAGACTGGTTGTAGTTACCACTGATATATGGAATAAGTGGAAAGAGAGGTGTGGGAGAGAGAGTGGTATTGGCAATGTAATACACTGTTTGGAGGGTTCAGAGTAGAAGGTCAACTATAATGAAAGTTAAGCCTCGCTATCTAGCCGACTAAAATCAACTCCACAATTTAAGAAGGAATTGAGTGATGACTAGTTTGAGCGGACTGGAGCTCCGACTTCACATTAAATGTTTTTATAAAAACGACTGATTTCAGCACCCAAAGAATAGCCCGCAATTGCACAGACAAATGTTGGGGTCCTGAAATCAGTCTTTTGATAAAAACGTCATTTTATGTGACATCGGAGCTCCAGTTTGCCCACTCTAGTCTCAGCTCAACTCCATCGTAAATCGTAGAGTTGAGTTTAATCGGCAAAATTAAGACCAGACAGAGGCAGCATACAGAAGCTCTACATAATGGGTCTTTATTCTCTAGAAGCAACCACCATCTCAATAATTTCACGCAGGGGTGCAACTTTGGTTTTAGACATGACGCTTTTTTATTGTTTTATTATCCAGTCGGATAAACACTCCAAACAGCCTACCCGACCACTCGGAAGAGCCCGCATGGTCCTAAAGCACACCGTTGCCTCGTTTTGTATCACATTCCAATAATAAAACTGGGGGGACAAAAATGCATTTTTAGAATGTGAAAAGTTGCGCCCCTGATTTCACGTGTAAGAACTGAATTCATAAACACATGCCAGGCATTAGCCTACTAATGAATGATCCTCACCTCCAATTCTCGCTCTTAATAGCGCTGGGATGATAAAACTGTAGGCCTACTTATGTTACTTTTCTGAGTCAATTCAGGTAGCGTTAAATGTATTTTATTTTTATTTTTTAACACAATTTATTTAAATCTCTAGTTGAGAGACCGAGTTTGGGAAACCTTGGTCTATAGGCCTTGTTTGTGAGTGGTAGTGACTCCTGCTATGAAGGTATCTGCCCGTCACCGTTTCGCTGTCGGGAGCCACTAAACTCCTTCTTGCACTGTGCACACAAAGAAATTGAACGATACAAAGAAGCAGGAGCAACCTCAGGTTGTCAAAAAAACACACATTGAAATGTGACGTTTGGCGCAACTTTGACATTGCACCTCTTGAGAAACATGGATGAAAGTCAGAATATGTCGTCATATTGGTAAAACCGTGAGCTCTTGTTGTACATCAAATAGCCTAGGCCTGGAAAGTTTGTAGGACATTAGCCTACATTTACTGATAGATAAATTATCCTACATGTATAGCAACATATTTATTGTGAGTAAGCAATCTAGCTAGTGTTTTGAGGTCCGACTTCCTCAGGTGGTGAATAATATAGCCTATAGTATATATGCACAAAGATGTCAGCAAATTCTCTGAAGAGCAAAAAATGAATCTGATCATTCTGGATCCTATTTTGGCAGGTTGCACATCAAAATATCAATCATGCATTCCCTGGATATGTTAGATGAAACAGCTTACTTTTTAAATATTAGGCTACCATCTCAGTTGACTTAGCACTGGGAAAAAAATGTGTAGAGACCTGCCACTAATAATGTAATGTAACTGTCCGTTAAAAAAATAATTTCATCATTGTAGGCCATTTATTGTTATCGAGCAAAATAGTTACATTTATCATGACATTACTTTTTGCGAACACATTCTCACTTATTAGAGTAATAATAGCAGAAAATCAATCATTGTTCCAATATTGTATCCCTACTTCTTTGCTGTGTAACCAAGAAAGGAGGGAATGAATGAAATGTCACAATCTATGATATCTGTTTACCTGGGCTTGTTTATTATTTGTTTTCATCAAAAATAGCGTTGAATATGTAGTAAACAAATAACAGACTTGAGTACTGCACACTAATGCACTAATCAATGTACCCATGTGATCATTGTTGAGGGATCCCATTTACCAACACACCATATGAAAATACTTAGTTTTTACTTACTGGTAATAAACAGTACGGAGACCACATGCAGCCTGAAAAACAAATATATACTGAGAGACACATACTGTTTGAAATCTGCTTCTAATAATCCATGGACTGACTTTATAATTTAATAAACTTTGTGTGAGGGAATGACATGTTAGCGCATACCCCATGTGCTGAGAGCGAGGCATAAAGGAAGTAGTGTCGTGGGTGAGTTTGTTTTACAAGGCCGGGTGGGAGGGTTTTGCACATTTTAAACAATTCCATTGGTCCTTAAGTTAACTCTCAAGAGGGAGGGACTTGAACATGAACCCATGTAAAAATGATTTGCATCGCAAAAAACTGGTATTTTGACTGAAAGGGATGCTGAAAGAGATACAATACTGTACAAAGTAATGCAGCAGCAGATGCGCCACCCTTGATAGCTGCTTTTAGCAACGGGGGTGTATTTACATAGACTAGCATTCCTCCTTATTGTATTGGGTTGCACAGAAAACAGTCCACGGGAAGTCAGAAGTTAAATACAATTATATTTCAACATACTGTGCTGGTGGGCAGGACGGTTGGTCATTAAGATGGGGCAAATGAGACAGAATATCTAAAGGAACTTATTATTATATAGACTTTCCAAACGTGGGCCTGTCGTAGACCCACTTCCTCTCTGCTTACCTCATGTCAATATAAAAATAAAATAACATCTAATTTTATTTGTCACATACATGTGTTTAGCAGATGTTATAGTGGGTGTGGCGAAATGCTTGTGCTTCTAGCTCCGACAGTGCAGTAATATCTAACAAGTAATATCTAACAATTTCACAACATATACCCAATACACACAAAACTAGTAAGGAATGGAATTTAAGAAAATATACATATATGGACAAGCAATGACAGAGCGGCATGGACTAAAATACAGTAGAATATTATAGAATAGGATGCAGTATATACAAATGAGATGAGTAGTGCAAGATACGTAACCATTATTAAAGTGACTAGTGTTCCATTTCTTAAAGTGGCCAGTGATTTCAATAGGCAGCAGCAGCCTCTAATGTGCTGGTGATGGCTATTTAACAGTCTGATGGCCTTGAGATAGAAGCTGTTTTTCATTCTTTCAGTCCCAGCTTTGATGCACCTGTACTGACCTCGCCTTCTGGATGATAGCGGGGTGAACAGGCAGTGGCTCAGGTGGTTGATGTCCTTGATGATCTTTTAGTTTTTCCTGTGACATCGGGTGCTGTATGTGTCTTGGAGGGCGGGTAGTTTGCCCCCGGTAATGCGTTCGGCAGACCGCACCACCCTCTGGAGAGCCCTGCGGTTGCGGGCGGTGCAGTTGCCGTACCAGGCGGTGATACAGCCCGACAGGATGCTCTCAATTGTGCATCAAGTACCCCACAAGTTATTCATTTTTTGTTCACATATGGTGCAAGTGCAGGACCTTTAATTTGACGTGAGGAAGTCGGTCTACAACAGACCCACGTTTGGAAAGTCTGTTTGATAATACGTTCCTTTAGATATTTTGTCTCAGTTCCACTCTGCTCTTTGAAGAGGGGGGGGGGGGGGGGGGGGGGGGGAGATGGCAGAAGTGGGACATTCTGTTTGAATCAGATGTGAGGGAGAAGAATTGGATTACAGTGGGGAATACAAAAGGATATAAGAGAAGTCAAGTGGTAGTGCAATCTAGTAAATCCAAGCCTAGTTCTGAAAAAACTATTTGTCGGAGTAAGGTTTTTGGATCGATGTTACCTGGGAGACCTGTCTGATGTCTCTATAAAAATCGTGGATGCGTTAGATAAGGTGGCGTCGGTGAGAGTAATGAGAAGTAGGCTTATTTTGGTTTTCTGTGTATCTATGGAACAGAAGGAGCATGCTCTGCACCTTAAGAAGATATCAGATTGGAATGTGTCATGTTGATTTTGGAAGCAGGGCACCTATCAAGGGTGTTATCTCTGGTGAATGCAAAGGATATACGTGAAGAATTGGATCAAGCGGTTGGTGCACACCGACTGACCCGCATGGTGGATGGAGTGAGGAAGCCCACTCCATCCATTCTATTGTTTTTTTAAGAACAGTCTTTCCCGTCTCACGTGTATTTGGGTTTTATGAGATACCCTGTGAGAGCTTTCATATCCAAACCCATGCCCATGTGACAAGTGTATGTAGACAGGAGAAGTATTGTATGCCAGCTGAGCCTAAATGCTGCAATTGTGGTGATGAACATGCGCCCGAATTCCTGAAGTTCCCTGTTAGGATGGAGGAGATGGAGGAGGCAAGAATAAGGGCTGTCCAGCATGTCTCCTATCCGGAGGCATTGAGAGAAGTAGAAGAAAGGAGTGATGTTGAAGAAATAATGGTAGTAGGAGCAGAGACACCAGAGAATATTCCTTGTCAAGAGAGGGATCCTGACATGTTGCATGTTAAGAAGGTGGACTTTGTAGCGTTTATTGCATTGGTTATCAACTGCACAGCGCAAACAGAGAGGAAATCTGTGGAAATAGGCATTGTTGTGAGTGCGGCTGAACATTTTGTGGGACTCAGGGATTTTACATAAGGAATCCTGTCGATGAATGCTCTGTCCTCACAGGCCCCGGAGCCTGTGTAGGAATGTGATTTGAACTGTGACTGAAGAAATGGGATGTATTTTAAATTTTGTGTATTTTGTATGATGTCAGAGTCCACCACCAACCCCCACCCCCCCCCCCCCCCCCCTTTTCCTGCAATGGAATACTACCCCGTACAGTAGGTGGCGGCAATACACCAATAGGTCATAGTCTGCCATAAAACCTCAAACAAGAAGAAGATATTTTGTCTCAAATACCCCCATCTTAACGACTAACCATCCTGCCCACAGGCACTGTATGGTGAAAGGGAATTGTATTTAACTTCTGGCTTCCCACAAACTGTTTTTCTGCAACCCCATACAAAAGGGAGCAACGCTAGTGTATGTATACACCGGCATTGCTAAAAGCAGCCACACCCTCGACATGTATTTCAGTTTTATGTTTCATTGACTGCCATGTGTATATCAATAAAAACTTGAATAAAAGATGTCATCAAGGCAAAAGGTGGCTATTTGAAGAATCTCAAATATAAAGTATATTTTGATTTGTTTAACACTTTTTTGGTTACTACATGATTCCATATGTGTTATTTCATAGTTGTGATGTCTTCATGATTATTCTACAATGTAAAAAATAGTAAAAATAAAGAAAAACCCTTGAATGTGTAGGTGTGTCCAAACTTTTGACTGGTACTGTATATATAGGGTTAGATGGTGGTGCAAGTTCCCTTTTTTTGTGAACAAATGTGCAATGCACTTTCCGAACTGGGAAAGGCATCAATATTCAACAAAGTGTCTAGTCTGCCGGAAAACCACACGAAACAAGAAGAAGAAGATCAGACCCCCTGGAACGGACCCAATCACACAGTCGGGATGGAACGCAACCAAGACTCATAAGATACGTCATAATAATGCGACTGACCATTTTGGACAACGTTGGCCTCAGTTTGCAGCGACGGACGAATACAACAATTCATGCTTTATTTAAATAGCTAGTTAAGATTGAATACTTTTGGAACGTCACGACTTAGGGTAATAACGTTTTGTACATATACGTGCTGTACTAGCATGCTGATTTTTACATTTTGTCATCCTGGCTAACGTTAACCAGCCAACTAGCGATAACGTTTGCTAACAGTTACTACCCAATAACGTAAACAAGCCAACTATCAATGTCTTTGGTGTTGCCAAACGTTAACTGTACACATTTAGTAGCTAGCTAGATGTGTTTACCACAAAATAATGGACTACCAACAACTTTTATGTATTTGCAGTAAGTATGGCGATGAAATCCGGAGAGGAGCGGTTGAAGGAGATGGAGGCGGAAATGGCTCTGTGAGTACAAGAGCTGAGACATGACACTTCGGTTACCTTCAATAAGATTGCATTGACGTGTGTGGTGACTATGCCAAAACAACCCCTACTAAATGGGCTTACTTCTCTATCAGGACAGGCAAACAATATCTCATGACAATCGTCATCTGTTGGTAACTCTTGTTGGTTCTGATCCAGGTTTGAGCAGGAGGTCCTGGGGGGTCCAGTGGGAATGACTGCAGGAGACCCTGCAGTGATGGAGGTGGTCCCTATGGGTGTTCCTATGGCTGTACCTATGATCCGACCCATCATCGGCACCAACACCTACCGACAGGTACTTAGATCCTGAGGAAAGAATGATTGAACATTTATATACGAAAGCTCAATAGTAGAATGAGCGAACTCAAACCTAAAAGCAAACAGAATGTGTTGTTAGCCGGATGTATCCAACTCCTTCAAATCCCCTTTTCTCTCAGGTCCAGCAAACCTTGGATGCAAGGGCTGCCACTTTCGTGGGACCTCCACCCCCTGCATTTGTAGGCCCAGGTGACATGGTTTGATTCACGTTTATTAACATAATAAAGTGCATTCGGAAATTGTTCAGACCCCTTCCCTTTTTCCACATTTTGTTACAGCCTTATTCTAAAATGGATTACATATTTTCCCCCCCTCATAAATCTACACACAATACCACATAATGACAAAGCGAAAACAGGTTTTTGAAATTTTAGCAAATGTATAAATAAAATAAAACAGATACCTTATTTACATAAGTATTCAGACCCTTTGCTATGAGACTCGGAATTGAGCTCAGGTGCATCCTGTTTCCATTGATGATCCTTGAGATGTTTCTACAACTGGATTGGAGTCCACCTGTGGTAAATTCAATTGATTGGACATGATTTGGAAAGGCACACACCTGTCTATATAAGGTCCCACAGTTGACAGTGCAAAAACCAAGCCATGAGGTCGAAGGAATTGTCCGTAGAGCTCAGAGAAAGGATTGTGTCAAGGCACAGATCTGGGGAAGGGTAGGAAAGAAATTCTGCAGCATTGAACATCCCCAAGAACACAGTGGCCTCCATCATTCTTAAATGGAAGAAGCTTGGAACCACCAAGACTCTTCCTAGAGCTGGCCTCCCGGCCAAACTGATTAAATGGGGGGAGAAGGGCTTTGGTCAGGGAGGTGACCAAGAACTCGATGGTCACTCTGACAGAGCTCCAGTTCCTCTGTGGAGATGGGAGAACCTTCCAGAAGGACAACCATCTCTGCAGCACTCCACCAATCAGGCCTTTATTGTAGAGTGGCCAGACGGAAGCCACTCCTCAATAAAAGGCACATGACAGCCAGCTTGGAGGTTCCAACAGGTCAACGACCCTAAGCACACAGCCAAGACAGCACAGGAGTGGCTTCGGGACAAATCTCTGAATGTCCTTGAGTGGCCCAGCCAGAGCCCGGACTTGAACCCGATGAAGCATCTCTGGAGAGACCTGAAAATAGCTGTGAAGCGTCGCTCCCCATCCAACCTGACAGAGCTTGAGAGGATCTGCAGAGAAGAATGGGAGAAACTCCCTAAATACAGGTGTGCCAGGCTTGTAGCGTCATACCCAAGAAGACTTGAGGCTGTAATCGCTGCCAAAGGTGCTTCAGCAAAGTACTGAGTAAAAGGTCTGAATTCTTATGTAAATGTGATATTTCCGTTTTTTAAATTAAATTTCAAAAAATTCTAAACCTGTTTTTGCTTTGTCATTATGGGGTATTGTGTGTTGATTAGATTGATGAGGACATTTTAGAATAAGGCAAATGTGGAAAAAGTCAAGGAGTCTGAATACTTTCTGAATGCCATTTAGCAGACGCATTTATCCAAAGCGACTTAGTCATGCGTGAATACATTTTTCATTATGGGTGGTCCCGGGAATCGAACCCTCTATCCTGGCATTGCAAGCACCATGCTCTACCAACTGAGCTACAGAGGACCACATATTGTTACATTAGTTGACATTTAAACAATGTATTTTACCCAATAACAATGTTGATCATTTCTGCTCTTCAGCTATAACCCCAGGTGTCAGACCACCGCCAATGATGAGACCAGCGTTTATGCCGCACATCCTGCAGAGACCAGGTAATCTATCTCTACTGTTGCTGACTTCACCTCAGTGCTAGCTAAACAGCGATTCAGTCTTCAAATGAAAAACAATGTGTTGGGAGGCTAATTGGAAATCTCTCTTTCAGGGGGTCCGAGGATGCCTATGATGCGTGGTCCCCCTCCACAGGGTATGATGGCTCCCCCACTGCCACGCCCCCCTCCTCCCCCGCCCATGATGATGGCACCCCCCATGCAAGGACCCCCTCAGCATCCTCAGCATCCCATGGACCCAATGGGACATATGAGCTCAGGAGGACCCCCGGTTAGTTGCTATAGTGCCTTTTTATCCCTCATAGAGGCCCCTAGGACAACTAATATCAATGGTCTGCCTAAAGGCCCACACAGACTGTACGATTTTAGACGTCTTATACCACGATTTGTCGGTCGCAGACAACATTTTCATGTTGTGGGAAAATCATTTTCTTGGCTCGTTCAGTGTGACATGGTGTAGGTCTGCTGATTGAGTACCACTACATGCGGTTGTAGGCTCAGACAAAGTTCTGCCAGTGTCAGAAATGTTGAGCCTTTATCGTGTAGTGTGGCTGGTGTTACGAGCCGATCCCGGTGACTTACCAATAGGAACACGGCCGGCACTGAGTATGCACACAACACTACGATTATTGTGAATAGTCCGATTTTAATATACAGTGAATGCCCATGAATGTGGATGCTACCATGATTACGGATAATCTTGAATGAATGATGAATAATGAAAAGTGAGAAAGAAAAATGCTAACCTCCCGTTATTGTAAAGGTGAGAGGTTAGCATGTCTTGGAGGTATGATATTTGTGCGTCTAACTTTCTCACTCATCATTATTCACGATTCATTCAGGATGATTCGTAATGATGGTATCATCCACATTAATGTAGAAGTACTTCGAAACATTCTATTCTTATTTACAATAAATTCCATTAATTTCTATTGGGCACAACATCATCTGAAACAACCAAAACAAAGAGCAAATGCATCCAACAAATTTAAGTCACAAGCTTGATGTAGTCATTGCGTGCTATGAACATGGGAACAAATACTTAACTTTTTACTTTAATACACAAGTGAATTTGTCCAAAAACTTTTGCTCCCCTAAAATGGGGGGGACTATGTACAAAAAGTGGTGTAATTTCTAAACAGTTCATGTATGAAAATACCCTCAAATTAAAGCTGACAGTGTGCACTTTAACCTCCATAGTAAAATCCAAACTTTGAGTATAGAGCCAAAAGAAGAAAAGATGCTTCACTGTCCCTCTAATAGTTTGATTTAAACATTTAAATGCTTTGCAAGAAGAATGATTTCCCTAATCTTGTTTGGGCTATATCTAAAAATGCTAAAAAGGCTACCTGATGGGATTTTGATAAATGCACAAAATCAGCAATCAAAATAAACGTTCTATCACAGTGGCCGTGTTATTTTTGGGAAGTGTGTTTGATTCTGAGTTCCGACATGTAACGTTTGTATGTAAAACTATTTCTAAGTTGCATACTTTCCGTTTTTTTCTGAACTCACTTCACTCATGCATAAGCACAGAGGGAGGCTTGCTCTGCTAGTGCTGGCTCATGTGCAGATCAAATACACAGCTGCAGCTGACATCGCATACATCAACAGACATAGCCTCGCAAGCCAATCATAGAATGTGTTAACAGAACTGAAGCAAATCGTACAATCTGGCCAGCAAGATATCAAGATTTTAATTAGGTAAGATCGCACAGTGTGACATGTAATAATCGTAAAAGACTGAATCCAACGTACAGTGTGGGAAGACCTTTAAGGAAATTCAGTGTTAACTGTGTCTTCAATTATGAATGTGAGCAGGCAGGCTTGGTCAATCTTGCTCAGTTCTGTTGTGCTTCATTATCTCCATTTTTCTATATGCTGTTACCATTTCTCACCATCTACAGGTGGGGTCGACCCATGGGACACCCATGGGACACTCCATGGTGTCAGCACCCTCCAGGCCTGTGACCCAGGCCCCTCCCAAGCTCACCCCCTCGATCATCTCCGCGGCCCCCACTGTCTACACAGCTCCCCCTGGGCCCAAGATACCAGACATCCATGCCCAGAGAAAGGCTCGCATGGTAAGCACACTCACTTCTACTCTTTAGTTTTCAATGCTTTTGCATTCAAATTTTTTTCAACGACTACTTAAAATGTGCATTTGACATACTTGCCAAATCTGCTGATGTTTGCTGGAAATTCACACTGAATCTTATCTATCATCATGTCTCTGATAGTTTTTTTTCCTCTCTGTTCTCCCTCTGACCTCATCAGGAGGAGCTGGCAGCGTCTGTAGCAGAGCAGCAGGCAGCAGTGATGGCTGCCGGACTGCTGGAGGCTAAGAAGGAGGCCAGCCTTGCCGCCTCAGATGACAACGTTATCGGACCCAGCATGCCAGAGCCCGAGCCCGTCCACACTGAGGTACAGAATTCTCTGCCTTGTTTATCAGCCCTGGCTCAAGTTAAAGGGTTTAAACTTTTCGGCATTCAAAATGCTTGTACAATTAAATTGGTGGATTGAAATAGACTTGACCCAAACCCTACAAAGGGCCAGTATTGCAGCAATCTCTAGAATATGTCTGACTCTAGAATCTTGTGTTTCTCTGCAGCCAGTGGATAGCACAGCAGAGGAGAAGAAGAAGGGTAAGCAAGAGAAGGCGAAGAAGTGTATCCGTACAGCCGCAGGCACCAGCTGGGAGGACCAGAGTCTACTGGAGTGGGATTCAGGTAAGATAGCTAATGACTTCAGATTACACTGAGACGATTAATTCCTAGTTACTAGCTGCTTTTTTTTAGCAATGCTAGTATTTACACAGTAGATTTGCTAGGGAATTAGCGTGCAAAAAAACTGAATAGCCCGCCGGATGCCAGAAGTTCAATCAAATCCAATTGTCCATAGGGTTGGTCCTTATGCAGGGGGGAAATTGAGAAAAAACATCTAATAGAACATAAATTAACCCTAGGATGCATAGTAAACATGACGCCCCAAGAATGCATATGCCGGGTAAAAATGACCCGATAATGTAATATCTGTGTGTTATTTATATGGGTCTAAAATATTATAAATTTTTTGGAACATAATTATTTTGAGTGATGATTTGGACCTTTCAATAATTATTTTATTGTTTGAAATGTTTTTAGTCGCTCTTCAACAGTTTGATACACATTTCAAAAAATAATGTATGCACTCTGGATAAGAGCATCTGCTAAATGACTAAAATGTAAATGTAACATTATGAAAATATTAGCATATTTTTCTTACAATCAATCTTACAATCAAAGTTTCACATTCAACCTTTTAGTGTGAAGAACAAATTAAAACCACCTTAAGCATGTTTTTATAATATTTCAAAAATTGTATTTGAAAATCCAAAGTTCATCATCAATATAAACGACAACATTAACAATTTGTGAATTTAGAAAACATAAACACTAAAAGGAACAAAGTGTGTGTGCGTGTCATGCTTACTTATGCCATCTTACTCCATGCATTTGTTACAAACCAAAAGCATGTGACTGTCCTCTTTGCAGACAGGTGTGTTGCACTGAGAACACCAGCAGCTGACTTTTCTATCCTTTGTGCTTGGGCAGAGCTGGCACCATCTTCCTCTTCTGGCCCTGGCTGCTCTGAGTGGTGGTGGCATGGCTCTTTCATCACCCCACATCTTTCCATTGCCTCAGTTCTTCTGTGGAGATGGGAGAACCTTCCAGAAGGACAACTGTCTCTGCAGCACTCCAACAATCAGGCATTTATGGTAGAATGGCCAGACGGAAGCCACTCTTCAGTAAAACGCACATGACAGCCCGCTTGGAGTTTGCCAAAAGGCACCTAAAGGACTCTCAGACCATGAGAAACATGATTCTCTGGTCTGATGAAACCAAGATTGAACGCTTTGGCCGGAATGCCAAGCGTCACGTCTGGAGGAAACCTGCTCATCTACTGTGACGCAGTCGCTGGGGATGAACCTTCCTCTACAGTGTGCTAGGAAAAGGTCCCACACATGCCGGAAGGCTGCCAGGTGGTCTGTTGCTTCTCTGAACACTCTGGTCCTCTTGTCGTCAAGCCTCAGGTAGCGATGGATATCTTCCGACCAACATGGTGGCCTTATACATTGGATTCTGCAGTGGATCCAAAATAGTCCCAGCTTTTCTCCACGCCGGCGAGGAGGGTTAAACCAATAAAGGCCTTTAGTTCCTCTTTGTTGACCTCTCTCCACTCTTTCCCTTTTGCTGTCGCTGTTCTCCGTCCTTCTAAATTTGTACACTTTAGGACCTCCTCAATGATGTTGAACAGCTCCCAGTTATCTTTTGGTGACACAACTGTTGACCCTGGCACAGGCCCTGGGCAGCTCCTCAGGATGTTATGGCTTCTGGTCCTGCCTTTAGTGGGGGATGTTCACTCCAGTAAGACCCCTTTTTACTCAGTCTATTTGACTGGTTTTCACTCTCCTCAGGGGAGGACTCCTCCCCATCTGTAGAATCATCTAGGACAGCTGGACTACCAGGTGCATCCACAACTCCAACTTGACCAACAGGCACATAGTCTGTGTCATCTGAATTGGATACCTCAGATTCTGAGTCGGAGGTACCAATGACTTCCTCATCCAGCATCTGTAAAACCATTTTGGTTGTATATCTGGCAACATTCTTATGAGCCTCCTTATGAAACTAATTTTACTCAATGAGTTAAAAAGGTTAAATTAAAACGGTGATTAATGAACATTTAAAAACAAGATATTTAATAAATACTTTATTAATTACATTGATTTTATTGTTGTAGCGAAAAGAAAGGTCAGTTTGACGAGTGCAATGCAGTGAATTCCATATGAAATACATACGGGTCATATTTGACCCACATGAAAACTTGGTAGTGATGCAAAAACTATTTTTACTTAAAAAATAAGAAATTAAACAACAAAACTAGGATGTTGGAACATTAAAGACACATTATTTAAGGAATTCCTGGAATATTAGATGACTTTTTTTTTTTTGGGGGGGGGTCTATTCAGCAAAAAAAACATTAGGCCAGGTCATTTTGACCCGGCATATGCATCCTAGGGTTAAAGACTTTCCAAACGTGGGTCTGTTGTAGACCCGCTTACCTCATGAAAATAAGTCCTGCACATGCGCTATACCTGCAAAAAAAATAAGCTAGATCTTGTCGCAGACTTATTTTGACATGAGGTAAGCAGAGGAACTGACCTCTGAGGAACTGCAGGGTCTACAACAGACCCACTTTTGGAAATTCTGTTTAATTATGCGTTCCATTAACATCTAAAGGAATGTATAATTAAACAGAATTTCGAAAGGTGGGTCTGTTGTAGACCCATGCGTTCCTCAGAGAGATCAGTTCATCTGCTTACCTCATGTCAAATAAAAGTCCCCACAAGTTCTTGATTATTTTTTCGATGTAT